GTATTTCTGTATGTGTATTTGTGTGTGTGTGTGTGTGTGTGTGTATTTATTTGTGTGTGTGTGTGTGTGTGTGTCCTAAAAGTTTTTTCTTCATAACTGTCATCTCAGAATGATTACTTACTTTCTGGGCTGCGCGCTTCGTCGAGATAAAAACAATTTTGTTTGTCTGAGTTAAAAACGTTTCCGTTTGGAACTTTTAAATGATGACAGCCTGGTTCAAGATCTAGTACTGTGACGCAGTGACAAGCTTAAAATACTTCTGCATGTCCAGGAAACAGTTCATTTGAAGTGGGCAGCAGGAAGGTGCCACAGGTAGAACCTTTTCATTGTCTCCGTTTGTTTCCAGGTATCTCTACCCCCTCACCGTTTGGATGTGGGGAGGCACAATAAGTTTATGTGGGTTTAACACCTCTATCAACACTATTAGGTTATTTAAGAGGCGGGACCTCCGAATTTAACGTCCACCGCCGATAGGCTCGCGATAAATAGGTTGACAGCCTTGAAAACCCCACAACACAATCCTAGTTAAAAAGCCTAGGCTGGAATTCGAACCAGGGCCATCCTCTCCACAGTCTAGTATGATACCAACTGAGCTAAAGCCCCCCCCCCCCCCCCGAGGGTGGGGATAAGGCATAACATTAGTCCTCATCAGATAATGTCCAAGGCTCTATACCGCCTCGGTTTTAAAGTTGGTCTTTTTTTTTTGTAAGTGCTTTACGGCGCTCGCTACTGCACAAGGTAATATGAGTGCGCGGGACATTTTAAACATGTCCAGTCGGTAGGAAATTTTGAATTTTATCCGGGTGGCGGCCGAAGCCTACTTTTATCGATTTTGGACCACCAAGGGATCTTTAACGTACGCAACGTTCACACGCACCTTGGATATTTTCCAGCCGTATCCGAGAAGGTTAGGAGTCATATCTTACATATTATAGGATCAGGGATGTGGCTGAAAGACAGCAGTAAGAGCAGTAAGAAGGAGCCAAAGAAAAGCATTAGAAATGCTGAAGAAAGAGTCAGAGGCCCAGGGGAGGGACAAAGGAGGTTAGGGGGAGGCTGCAGATAGTGGAGACGAAAGCAGACGACAGAACATTGTTAAAGAGCAGGAATAGAGGTGGAAGGAGAACATTTTAGAGAAGAAAAGTTTCCGTCGTTATTTGGATTCGGACCGGGACTCATTGAATGAGAGGTTAACACCATAACCTCTCGACCACGAGACCCCCCAGAGTTGGTCTGAAACAGGAAGCATCGTCTCTGAATGAACATTTCAGCCTTTAAAAAGGACGTTCCTACCATACCGTAACACTATCATTATGTTCTGGACAGTCTCTTTGTCAGTGAGAAAAACTTAAAGTACTAAGCGAGCCAGTTTCATCAAGTGTCTCGAGTTTACATTGTAATAAAACTCTGCCTAAAATCCTCCATTGATCTCCAATTATATTTATAATGGGCATGGCTGGAGGTACCAGTGGCAGGTTCCACATTTGCTTTCTCAAACACTCGTTGAACAAAGTTTGATGATCTCTTTAGTGACTTCAAAAAATAAATAAGTGCAAAAAACCTGTAATTCTTTCTACATAAAAAAGTTCTCTATGCTGACCACCCCATTCGTCACTCATATAGCTGCAATCATCGTCTTCTCCAACAAAAAAATAATAGAGAACTAATCAAAACAAAACAAAAAAACTAAAACTATGGTACCAGCAACACAGAGAGAATAAAAAAAAATGGGCGTATCGTGAGCTCAGTCGGCATCACGGACTTATGTGTGAAATTAAGTGACAACTTTAGAAATGAAAAATAAACATGCTTGTTCTTGAGAAATCGAAACAGGTTCGGTCAAATTGTGGTCAACAAAAATAAAAATCTGGCCTTAAACATTATGGATTCATCATTTTTTCATAATAAGTAACTACAGCAGTTAACCTCTTTTAAAACTTGGCCGAAATTCAAATGAGGTCCCATATATGACATAAGCATTGGTCAGCAAATTCCTTGGTAGGTGTCGTGAGCCGTCGAAGATGACCGTTGTCAGACCTCGACAGATAAGGGAGGCCATATCCCCATATCCCCCACCCCCTGCTGCATAACTCTTATGCTGTTGTTCTCTCATTCTGTGGTCCCAAGCAGTAGTGCGGGTGTACCGTGCTATTTTCTTACAGCTCGTGTAGGACGAAGCTGAGAAATTCTGGATATTTACAATGGGGTATGTCGAAACTGCTCTCTGTAATATTTGTAGGTGTGGATTTTGAGACAGTTTTTGTTGTTGCACAAGTTTTCGCTCTTTCTACATTTTAGCTCGATCTGCATTATTTATATTGTGGATAATAAATGTCTTCCAGGAATGGAAGCCACTATCGTTAGCTACGTTGATATACTGTTTTACGATGCAGACGTTCCCTGTTTAAATCCTGTACCGAGTGTCTTTGAACTTGGCTCGGTGCTATCGAAAATGGACGTGCGATTTTTCTCCTATACGACTGCAAGATTGGAAGCCCAAATTTTTAATTATCTAAATTGTGTCAGTGGAAGCGTAAAACACCCCTTTCTCCTTCTTTCCCTCTCCCTCTACCACTTTTCTTTCTCCTCTCTCTCTATCTGGAATGTGTGTGTGTGTGTGTGTGTGTGTGT